AGAGAGAGAGAGAGAGAGAGAGAGAGAGAGAGAGAGAGAGAGAGAGAACCATAAATAGAAATTTCTGTGCCAGGAATAAGTGGCACATGAGATGTGCTCATTTGAGGAGGGCAGAAAGACATCAACCCTTGGAAAGGGGAAACAGATTTCCTCAGGACCTCAACATGGGACCCCTGTTGGGAGTATGTGGGCAGAGCAGCAGAGGACGCTGCTCTAGCTTGCCATCTTGTAGCTTCCTATTTTAAAGAAATTTTCTTGCTAGCTGGGCACAGCACTTTATTGCTTCTACGCTGCCCAAGGACGTCAAGTGCTGTCAACACCCCCTGAATTAAGTGCCCTGGGACAAAGCCCTGACCACCCCACCCTAGCTAAGGCTCTGGTTAGAGAAGCAGAAGTGATTTGGCCAAATGAACACATCTAATAGGAGCCAGCGCCTTATCTCAAATCCAAGTCTTTTTAATGCTAAGTCCAGCACTCTTTCCAATACAACACTTTTCCTCTGACTTCACTCTCACTAAATTCTTTTCTCATCAGCACTTACAAACTGCACAAGATATAACAGCCACCTTCCCTCTTTCTGACTCCCTTAAATATCCAGGCAGAAGTGTCAATGAGCCCCACTGTCACTTTCTCCAGATGCTTTTGAGTTCCTCCCATGAGCAGTCTAAGGTGTTGTCTGCTCCCTCAACTCTCCATCCTGTGATATTAATAATAATTAATATTTATATGGCACTTACTATGTGCCAGGTACTGTGCTTAGCACTTTATAATCATTATCTTATTTGACCCTCACCACAACCCTGGGAGGTAGCTGTTATTTTATATATATGAATATATATGTGAATATATATTATATATGTGAATACACACATACATGTGTATATATATCCATTTTACAGATGAGGAAACTGAGGCAGACAGCATTAAGTGACTTGCTCAGGGTCATACATCTAGTAAGTGTCTGAGGCTAGATTTGAATTCAGGAAGATGAGTCTTCCTGACTCCAGGCCCAGTGCTCTAATAAGGGGAGACATTATTTACATGTATTTAATAAGTACGCCATATCCATTTTTGAAGGGGAAGGCACTGGCAGCTGGGGATGTGGGTTGTGGATAAGGAACAGGGTGAAGGAGAGAGTGGCACTTGAGTTCTGTCTTGAAGAAAGCCAGGGATTCCTGGGGCCTAGGCAAAGAGGGAGAAACTCAAAGGGTGGGTGGGCGCAGTGAGTGGGCACGGTGCGGTCATCGGATGGAGGGCAAGGAGAAGGACGGGAGGGGGCTCCCCTGTAGAAGCCGGTGCTCATGTCCCATGGCTAGTCTGGACGTCTGGGGAGGTATCGTAGGGCTCAGCAATAGACATGAGTTTGGCATCAAAGTCTATAATCTTGTCTGTGGAATGGCAGAAAGAGTGCTGGATATGAAGGTTTATAATCTCTCTCAAGGGAAAGACAAAGCTGGAAAGAAGGCTGACTTTGGAGTTCAGAAGGCCTGGGTTCAAATCCTGCATCTGACCCATGTTGGCTCTAGGTCCTCAGGCAGTTGCTTCCTTGACAAATGGTCACCAAAGTGGGGGCCCCTAGGAAGCTGTAGTTTGACCCCGGTCAGAGGGTGGGAGGAGAGCTCCCGTTCTGCCCTCCCAATTCTGGGCCTGCTATGCCCCGTTCTCTGATTGTGCTCTCTGGGACTCCCAGAGGCTATCGCTTCTGAGCAGCTGCATCCCCAGCCCTCAGCATCCCCCCAAGACCTCATCGCTCCAACAGGCTCACTTCTGTTGGCTCTGCGCCCTATGTAGGTTTTAATAGTGGCCAGGGAGCAAGGGACCATTGACCAGTCCCCTTAGGTTTTGTGGAAAGGCTAGGACAGAGTGAGTCACTCAGGACGAGTGAGTCATGGACAAGTCACTTAATCTTTCTGTGCTTCAGTTTCCTCATCTGCAAAATGGGAATAATAATAATAGCAGCTACTTCCCAGGGTTATTGTTGTAAGGATAAAATGAGAAGATACTGGTAGAGTGCTTTGCAAACCTTAAAGCTCTATGTAAATGCTAGCTATTTGTGTCCAGTTCCTGGGTTTGGTTTACCAGTTGTGTTGCCTTAGGCAAATTACTTCTCCTCTTGTGGGACTCAGTGTCCTGTCTATAAAATGAGAGGGGTGCCCTAGATGGCTTCTGGGTCACATGCCGCCTTCCAGATCTGTGACCCTTCGAACCCCTCTCTCTCAAATGCCTTGCCTTTGACCGTGGGCACCATCCCTCTTTCCTGCTCCCACGAGGAATCGCCGCGTGCCACGGTTCTGCCCCAGTTCCACCCAGGCTGTGGGTGAGGGGTACGCTGAAGATGCTAGCAGGCCCCACGAGAGGCCCTGACTGCCCCATCAGCCCCAGGGCCTCCCTGCAGAGAGCTGTCAGGCCTGAGCCAAGAGGAGAAAGGAGGGACAGCGGTTGACACACAATGATTTCCTTGATTCAGTTGGGGCCCTCGAAGGAAACTCACTTGCATAGGGTATCTGAGAAGCCACATTTCCTGTGTGGGGATGCTCACCATTGCAAAAGAAGCCTTAGCGCTGGAGATGACATGACAGCACCGTTCCTGCGGAGGCCCAGGCCTGGGGGCAGGGGGAGGGAGAGGAGACACCCTCCCTGTGGGTTCCTGCCTTCTTCTTTCCTGCTTTCTGTCTCTGACTGCTTGCCCTCCCTTTGAAGGGAGGGAGGCTGCCCTCTGGCTCTGGGCTGGGCTTGAAAGTCCATCACTTTGAAGAGATTTTGTAGGTGCTGGGAGCTCTTCTGCTGGTCCAGCCAAGGGCAGACCCGGGGATTACGTCACAGCAGTTTCTGCTTCCTCATTTCAGTAGCTTCTGGACTCCTCACCAAAAAAAAAAAAAAAAACCAAAATCAAAACAGGGTCCCCCCCTTTTTTTTTTTTTTTTTTAACTTCTGGCCACATTGGGTTTCCATCAACAGCCTGGAGAGAAAGAGACACAGACAGAAAAACACTGCAAGTGACTGCAGGAGTGAATCTCTTCCCCCTTGGCTGGTGGGTGAGTCAGTGGCCCGGCTGGGACCTCTTCAGGCTGCTCTGCCCGCTCTGGAGGGACCTGGGCAGGAACCTGGCCTCACCATGACCCAGCTGCAGTTCAAAGATGCTTTTTGGGTGAGTGAGCGGCTTTCTCTTCCCCCGGATGGTCTGGCTGTTACCTTCCCTCTACCTCCCAAGGTTTTCCAGCTGCATAGATGTTGGTGTGTTTGAGTGGGGTTTTTTGTAAGTGAAAAAATTAAGGAAAAGGGCCCCCTTGGAAGTGTTCCTCCCCTCCCCCCAGCGTCCTCTTGCTTCAGGCTGACAAAGAGAGTTCTGTTCATTTCTCTCGGTGAAGAGAGGGCTGAGAGTTCATCAAAGTCCGGACTGCCCATTTTCCCCCTTAAATGGCAAATGCTTGGTTCTATTTTCTGTTACCTTTCTCAGTCTTTGCCTTGCCTCTCGCCTGCACGCAGGGCATCCAGGTGGCAAGAGAGAGTCTCTCAGACCCTCCCTACCAGTGTTCCCTCCTCCCCTTGGTGGGACAGATTCACCAGGGCACATGGCGTCCTCCGGGCTCTCCGGGCCAGGTACTGAAGGAGAAAACTCCCCGGTGACCCATAGGCTTTGGTTCCACTTGGGCTGTGACCTGCATATGGAGGAAGCAGGCTCAGAGAGGAGACATCCTGCCTGCTAGGCAGCTTCTGGTGTGAATGTGATACATATTGTAGGAGAGGTCAGAGTGCTGCTTGTGCTCAGAGAAATTATCAGGGCTTTGGTCTGACTGGAAGGAAGGGAACAAGCGTAATTAAGCACCTACTACGTGCCGGGTATTTTATAAACATTAACTTATTTAATCCTTACAAGAGCTGTGGGAGGGAGGTGCTATTAGTATCCCCATTATTCTACAATTGAGGAAACTGAGGCAGACTGAGGTTAAGTGACTTACCCAGGGTCACACAGCTATTAAGCATTTGAAGTTGGATTTGAATTCAGGTCTTCCTGACTGCAGGCTCAGCCCTAGGGCTGCCCTTGGTCTGACTGAGGCTTAGTGTGTGGCTCCTTCTGTTGGTAGCTGCTTGGGGTGAGGATCTTAGAATCTAGAACTGGAAGGAATCTTGCTAATCATCCTTATTTTATGGGAGTAGCAGTGTTTGTAGTGTGTTGATCATGGAGTCAAGAAGACCTGAGTTTGATATGTGTCGGTTTGGTGACCTGGGTCAAGTGACAATCTCTCTGAGCCCGTTTCCTCATCCCTATCAATGGAATAATAATAGCATTTGCCTCATAATGCTTAGCACAGTGCCTGGCACACAGTAAGCACTTAATAAATGCTGGTTGACTGACTGCATGAAATCATAGGTTTATTTTAAGGCTCAGATGAGATCATGTGAGCAGAGGGCTTTATAAACCATAAAATTCGGTGTGGATTTCAGCTCTTGTCAATATGTATGTCATCAGCTCATATATTGGGAGCTGGAAGGGACCGCAGAGGCAATCAATCTAACCCGCTCATTTTACAAATAAGACAACTGAGGCACAGAAAAGTGAGGTCATGCAATAACTGAGTGCTGAGAATTTAAGATACAAACCTGGCTTCTGATTCTAAATCCAGTTGACTTTGCACCGTATCATAGGAGCTGAGAATGGGACACCTTTCTGTCCAAGGTTGGCATTGCCAGGTCCTCTGGTCCATCTGGAACCTGAATGAGAACCACTTCTATAGCATCCCAGACAAGGGATTGTCTAATCTCTGCCAGACGACCTCCGGTGATAGGGGGCTCATTACCTTATGAGGTAGCACATTCTATTTTGACATCATTAGGAAGTTTTCCCTTGTACTTCAGGTCCATCAGTATTAAGTGCCTACTAGGTGCTAGTAAGTCACTCATCAAGCATTTATTAAGTACCTACTATGTGCCACACAGTCAACAAACATTTATTAAATGCCTACTGTGTGCCTGTCAGTCATTCATCAAGCATTTAAGTGCTTACTATGTGTCAGCCAGTGAATAAGCATTTATTAAGTACCTACTGTGTGCCAGTCAATATGCATTTATTAAGTGCCAACTATATGCTAGTCAGCCATTCATCAAGCCTTTATTAAGCACCTACTATGTACCAGATATTGTGTTGGGTGCTGGGGATAAAAAAAAAAAAGATGGAAGACAGTCCCTGCCCTCAAGGAGCTCACAGTCTAATGGAGGAGACAACAAGCCAACATCATACAAACTAACCATCGACAGGATAAACCGAAGGTGATCTGAGGGGGACACAGGTAGTCTAACCTGCTTCTATATATCATTCATATTTCTGCCCCCTCTCTGGCCCCGGGACCATGCAGAGCTGGTCTCTGACATGTCAGCTCTTCACTTCTTTGAAGACAATGACCACCCTTGCCCAAATCTTTTCCAGTTCTGAACATGCCAGCTCCTCTGCCCAGTCTTGGAATGGCACAGCTTCCAGGTCTCTCTCACTGTCCAGTTTGTCCTCCTCTGACCCTTGTTGGCTTGGTGCCCAGAGCAAAGTCTCCCATGCAGGTGTGGTCTGACCAGGGCAGAGGACAGTGGGATTATTATCCAGCAGCCCAAGATGACATGGGCTTTGGGGACTGCTGGGTCTCACCATTGGCTCAGCCTGCACCTGTGGTCCACCAGAAATAGAGCCCCAGAATCTCAGAGTTGGGTGGGGCCTCAGAAGCCCATTAGCCCAACCTGACCCAAATAAGAATTCCCCTTGATATTAAATCAGGTCAATGTTCATCCATCCTTTGCTGGGGGGAATGGGAAGCCCGCTCCCTCTGGAGGGAACCCTTCCCACTTTGGATGGCTATCATTGTTAAGAAGCTTTCTTGGAGTGGATAAAGCCCTGGACTAATTATGAGGACCTGGATTCAAATCCTGCCTCAGACACTAGTTCTGTGACCTTGCTAAAAGGCTGCACTGTGCCTCAGTTTCCTTATCTGAAAAATGGAGGGTGTGTGGGGGGTGGATTCAATGGCCTCTAAGGAACCTTGTAACCCTAGTTATTTGATTCTGACATCAAGCCTGAGGTATTTATTAGACACACTGGTGCCTAGTTGATTTTTTTTAACCTATGATGGACTTTGTATTTCTTGACATGGCACCAGTTGAAGGTGTTCCAAATGCTAGTTGAGTTGAGGCCAGGTTGAGCACCTCAAAGACAGCTGCCTGCTAGAGATTCGGTGGTGATGATGAGATGGAGAAGAGGATTCAGGGAAGAGGTTTCTGGAAAGGGGCTGCTCTTAATGGCCAAGAAGGAGGGTGGGGCAGGTAGTGGTGAGAGCTGAGTAAGCAGCCGGAAATAGCTTCCTGAGAAGCCTATTGTATTGGCAACCCCACCCTTGTCAGAGCTCCCACTGCCTCGTGACGCTCACTGATCTGTAGCCCCTGCTCTCCTCTACGTCCCCGTCCCCCTCCCCTGCTCCAGGGGCTGCACCTGGGCAGAGATCACAGCTTCCCCCACTCTGTGTGCCCACCACTGGCTTAGACTCAGTTCCATCAGGAGCCTCCAGTCACCCCTGGATTGCCCTTTCCTCCACAGCCTCTGTGCAGGGCAGAGGAGCTCTGAGCCTAGGTGCTTGTCCACTGGAGGATTCTTAAAGCCTAGGAGTTTGGACTGGGCGGGGCCCGCACATGACAGAACTTCTCTGATTTTAACTTCCAAAGTCACCTGCTATAGGAGGCCTTTCTGGATTTCCCCTCATTGTCAGTATTCCCCCCACCCCCAACTTATTTTGTGTTTATTGAGAGCAAACTCCCATGTGTCTTGTATTCCCAGAGTTCAGCACCAAATGACTGGTCAGTAAACACTTGCTTGATTTTCATAGAGGAGGAGACTGAGACTCACAACGGTTAAGACTTTGGCTAGAAACTGAGAAACCAGGTGGGATGACTTGGCTGAGCCCCAAAACAGGCCATACAATCTTGGACGAGTCACGTAGCCAATGAGATCCTTCCCGACTCTGAGACTCCATGAGTTAATCTTTGCCTCAGTTTCTCCACCTGGAAATCAGGGACAATAATATCATTCCAGCCCACCTTACAAGTTTCTTATAAGTATCAGATGAGGTACTGGTCATAAAAGGACTCTCCAAAAATACAGTATCAAGTACAGCTCAAATGTGAGGCTTTCTTTGAAGCTAATGACATCTGATTTCCAGTTTATGGCAAAGGAGGAGACAGAAAAACTAAAAAAAAGCAGGCACAAGGTAGTAGCCCCATTGTGCGGATAGGAACCCAAGGTAGGATGGATTTCCTATGAACATACAACTGTGGAAGTTGGACCTTAAGTCCGGGTTTTCTGGCTCTCAAGTCTGAGGTTGATTTCTTGGCAGGCACCGACTGCCATCCTGACTACCTCTTCAGACAAAAGTGACTTTGTTTCCCAGTTGGAGTCCTCTTAGAATTTTCAAAGAAAGAAAAAGAAACTGTGGCCTTAGAGCCCCTCATTACTCCTTCCCACTTTCCCTGCCCTATAGCATCTCTTCTCTTGGGAGGCAGCCTGGTGAAACAGGCTTTGTAATCAAGAAGAACCAGGTTTGAATCCTACCACTGATGCCTCTTAGCTGTGTGACTCTGGGCAAGTCATTTAATGTGTCAGCCTCAGTTTCCTTATCTGTAAAGTGAGAATGATAAGAAGAATAAGAATAGAGTCCATCATACCACAAAGACTCCTGCCCTATGGAAGGTCAGTGCATGTGGGGGAAGCTGGAATCATCTACTGGAATTGAACCCAAACTGATAAACCCAAGACACCCCTCTTTTCACTTTCTTAGAGTCATAGGGTGAATGAATATGCTCATTTACTATAGGATCCTAGATCTACAGTAGAGATAAAAGGGACATTAAAGGGCATC